TTTAATTTACATCTACAAAGTTCTGATCTCACTGCACTTTTCAAAATACTACTGATTCCAACAAAGGGCTAGCATGTTGGATAGGATTACCGATAGTTTTGATTTACTACTGTATCACCTAATGATGCATTTTACTGATGTACACTATTGATTCTACCAATGTGCCAGGATTTTGGAGAGGATTGTTGGAAGGTTTACTTTCTGATGAAAACTTGCTTATTACACCAAGTTATGCACTTTAGTAACGTGTACTACTGATTCAATCAATGTGCCAGCACTTTGGAGGGGATTGCTGGAAGTTATGATTTTCTGCTGCAATGCTTTCTGCACTTTTCTGACATGTTCGACTGATTAAAAGAATGCGCCAACATTTTGCAGGGGATTGTTGAAACATTGTTGTTTTGGCTGGTGTAAGGTTGTTTGCCTCACATCACTGCATTGCTGATTCTGTGAATTTGCTAGATGTTTGGAGAGGATTTCTCCAAGTTTTGATTTTCAGCTGCGACATTGCTTCTGTCACCAAGTTATGCACTATACTGACATGTACTACTGATTTAAACAACATGTCAGCATTTTGGAGAGGATTGTTGGAAGTTTTACTTTCCTGCTACAATGTTGTTTATCGCAATAAGTTATGAATTCTACAGAATTGTATTTCTATTTCATTGAAATACTAATAAATGAGAATTAGCATGGAAGGGACAAAGACCGATCGCAGTTCCCACAGGAAAGGACTGCAATATGGAAGAGGGTGCTTTATCAGGAGTAGATCACCATAAAACCCCAGCTATCTGTCTAGTTAGTCAATAAAAGGTAAAGTTGCCATAGTCCTACCAGACCATAGGGCTTCTCTGAGATGGCTGGTGGTGCTTTAACCTGGGGGTCACCACACCTCAGGTAAGGAAAGAGTTTCAGAAGGAGAGTCCTTTATGGTAACCTCACCCACTGCAGGAGTTGAACTGTCATTATTGGCATCAGTGTGCATTACAAACCAGTCAACTGAGCTAACTGAACCAGGTGGTCTATAGTCATTTGTTGTATCAAACATTATGTCACTTCAACAATGTAGAAGACTTCCATTTGATAGGTGTCTATCCTTTTAATAGCAAGACTTTAGAATGAACCTTCAATGCTATAGTAAGGGAAGGATTCTGAGCTAGAATGATTTCTCAAATTTTGATCCATCTTATTGGTCCATTCTTTACCCCCTCCTCCAGAGTCAGTCCAGAGACCTTGCTCTGTTTATTCGGTGTCTGTTGGCTAGTTTCTCAGCTGCACTTTCAAAATGTAACAGTGTATTGGAGCTTGTCTAGAGATAACCATTGCTCTGGTGAGAATAATTGTTTCTCTTCTGTACACAGTCCCGTGTTTTCATGCCTTCAAGCAGCCTTCCTTGCTCACAGATAACAATAATGTCAGCTCCACTCAAACTTTATTTCACTATCATTGAACAGTTTTATTAAGAAAACAGATTTTTAAGCATCTTGAATGCTTAGATTAAGAGACAAAGGAATGTATGTGCTGTGTAAATCATTATGAAAAATACAGTTATAGAGTCATAGACTAATACAGCATGGAAACAGACCCGTTGGCCCAAACTGGTCCATGCTGACCATGGTGCCCACTCAGCTAGCTGCAATTCCCACATTTAGTCCATATCCCTCTAAACTCTTCCCATCCATGTATCTATCAAAATGATTTTAAATATTGCTATTGTACCTGCCTCACCACTTTCTCTGGCAGCCAATTCCATATACGCACCAATCTCTGCTTGAAGACATTGCCCCTCAGGTCCATTTTAAATCTTTCCCCTCTCATCTTAAACCTATTCCCTCTAGTTTTCAATTCCCCATTCCTGGGAAAAAGACTATATGCATTCTTCTTATCCATGCCCCTCATGATTTTATACACCTCAATAAGGTCACCCTTCATTCTCCTACATTCCAAGGAATAAAGTCCTATCATGGCCAACCTCTCTGTATAACTCAGGCCTACTAGCCCTAGCAACATCCTTGTAAATCTTCTTTGCACACTTTCCAGTTTAATTATGTCTTTCTGACAACAAGATGACCAAAACTGTACATAATATTCCAGGTGTGGCCTCACCAATGACTTAGACAGCTGTAACATAACATCCCAACTCCTGCAATCAATGCCTTGACCGATGAAGGCCAGCATGCTAAATGTCTTCTTCACCACCCTGTCTACCTGCACTTTCAATGAACTATGCACTTGTACTCCTAGGTTCCTCTGTTCTACAACACTCCTCAGGACCTTACCGTTTACTGTATAAGTCCTACCTTGGTTTGACTGTGCAAAGTGCAACACCTTGCACTTATCTGTATTGAACTGCATTTGCCAATCCTCAGCCCACTTCCCCATCTGACCAAGATCCCTCTGTAATTTTTGATAACCTTCCTCACTATCAATGATTCCCCTTAATTTTGTATCATCCACAAACTTACTAATCATGCCCTGTACATTCACATCCAATTTATTTATGTAAATAACAAATAACAAAGGTCCCAGCACCAACCCGTGGCACACCACTAGTCACTGGCCTCCAGTCCAAGAAACAACCTTCTACCACCATCCTCTGCTTCCTACCATCAAGCCAGTTGTGAATCCAGTTAGCTAGCTCTCCCTGGATCCCATGCATGTGATTAGTTATAAATTAGCACTTTGTTTAGCATAGTTTTTCCTGACAGTTGTTACTTGAGATTTTTTAAAATAAAATTTGAGTATAATCTTTCACCAGATATTGAATGTGAGTGGTGATTCATTTAGAGAGTTTGAAAAACCTCGCTGTATTTTCGTCACCATTCAAATGAATCTGAAATGTGTTCCATTTCTCCCTCTCTGCATTTCAATTGATTGTAAAATGGATCCAGATCTCACTCAGAGTGCTACCAGTTGGTTATATCGTAAAAGTTCAGTACACACCAATCCTTGACTAAGACACTTTGTTGAAAGGACCTAGTGATACAAAAATTGAATATTACATTGCATCCATAATGTTTTATAAATCCTGTCTCTCGTCACCAGGTGTAATCAAGAAATTGACATCTGATCAATTAGGAGGAATAAATGAAGTGAGTTTTAAGGAGTACCTGAAAGGAAAGGGAAAGTGGAGAGGTTTGGTGAGGAAATTCCAGAATGTGCGGCTGTCACTAGCCATCTTCAGAATTTAGGCATCATTAATCCAAAATTTCACTTAATCATCTTTGGTATCCCTACATGGTTTAACTTAACACTGGCATATGCTTATTTATTGTCTCACATTAGCTGATTCACCCAACTTGTTTGAATTAGTCTGAATTGCTAAATCCTCCCACCTCCTCATCTCTTTTATAAAAGGAAACTCTATTCACTACAGGGCAATGCAAGTGACAATTGTTCAGACTCTTTAAGCACCTGAAACCACAAAGCAACCTTGTGTAAATAAACAATGTGAAAATGATAGAGGAGTTCAGATAGCTGGAACCGGCAATCAAGCAAGGTCTTTGGTGTATCAAGAGAATTTAAGAGGCATGTGGGATAACACCAAAATTGATGGTACAGTGGACAGTGAAGATTATCTAAGATTACAAAGGGGCTAATGGGCTGAGGAGTAGCAGATGGAGATTAATTTGGATAAATGTGAGGTATTGCATTTTGGTAAAACGAACCAGGGCAGGACTTAAAACAAACCAGGGCAGGACTTGTACAGCTAATGGTAGTGTTGTCAAACAGAGAGACCTAGGGGTTTAGTTATAAGTTCTTTGAAAGTTGCATCACAGGTAGGCAGGGTGGTTAAACATGATTAACTTCTTTGCTCAGACCATTGAGTATTGGATAAAAACTGAAAGAACTGTGGCTGCTGTAAATCATGAACAAAAATAGAAGTTGCTGGTAAAACTCAGCAGGTCTGGCAGCAGCTGTGAAGAAAAATCAGAATTAATGTTTCGGGTCCCGTGTCCACCGGACCCAAAATGTTAACTCTGATTTTTCTTCACAGATGCTGCCAGACCTGATGAGCTTTCCTAGCAACTTCTGCTTTTGTGCATTGGGTATCAGAGTTGTGACGTTATGCGTTGAGGTTGCACGGGACACTGAAGAGGCCACTTTTGAACTACTGTGTACAGTTCTGTATGATTCTATAACTCTAGGAATGTGCCAGCATTTTGGAGAGAATTGTTGGAAATTTTGTTTTTCAAATGTGAAGTTTCTTCTCTCGCCATGTACAATTGATTCTAACTATGCACAAGCATTTTGCTGACAATTGCTAGTAGGTTTGATTTTCTCCTGCAGAATTTCTTATCACACCAAGGCATACAGTTATTCAAATATACTACTCTTTCAATTAATGCACCTGCATTTTGGAGAGCATTGCTGGGAGTTTTGTTTCTCTGTTGCAAAATTGCTTATCTCACTGGGTTATGCACTGTGCTGACATGAAATACTGATTTTAACTATTGGCCAGCATCTGGACAGGATTGCTGGATGTTTTGATTGTTTGCTGCACAGATGACATATATTACTGGTTTTGGAGAAGATTTTCTGGGGCAAAGTTTCTTATGTCATCAAGTTTCCCACTTTAATGATATGTACAATTGATTCTAACAATGTGCCAGAATTTTGAAGAAGATTGCTTAAAGTTTTGATTTTCTGCTGCAAACCTGCTTATCTCACCAAGTTATACATTTCATTTAGGGAATAAGAATGTGTTGAGATCACTGAGAGGAACTGAATAACTGGAATAAGCCAAATTAGTACTGATCTGGTAATATGCCCTTGCTTTGCTGCTGAACAAGTCTTTCATAAAACAAGTAACATGAATGATAACATAAAATATTCTTGGAAAGTTAGAACATTATAGAACATAGAACAGTACAGCACAGCACAGTACAGGCCCTTCAGCCCACGATGTTGTGCCGAACTTTTACCCTAAACCTAAGGTCTATCTAACCTCCACCCCTATGTTATACTATCATCCATATGCCTGTCTAATAGCTGCTTAAATACCCCTTAGTGAATTTGCATTCTATCCTATCAGGACATTAGTGCATATTCCTTTAATAACATATAGCATCTGTAATCAGAATATTCAAGATGTGATAATGGCATCATGTGATAGGAATTAGTAGGGAAAAATGCAATTTGTCTTCAAGTTATGTTGTGAGTTTCTTCATCCATAGATAAAGATTAGTCTGAATAAAGGATGGTGATTACACAAAGCTCATTGAATAAATTCATGATAAATGTGCTACACGTAAAAAGTATCAGAGGGTACCATCACAGCCTATTGCGTAAGTTCAAGACATTAATGAAGTAGTAGCTATAAATTTAAGGCTAACAGTAAAACCTGGAGCTGATCATAATGAAACTCCAATTTCAATCATTCAACATGTCATTCACAAGTTTTACTGTTTTTCTTCTTTCTGCGGTGGAATTTGGACACAAACACGTTTGGCTGGCACATTATAAACATGGCAAACAGAATCAACATATCGACAATCATACATGGTAAAGACAAAATAGAGACTGTAGATCAAAGTATTGAAACATGGATTGAGATGAGTGCTAACTAAATTCTGGACTGACTATAGTCAGGGAAAAGGGGAGAATTTGCTGGGGTTAAGTTTAGAAATCTGTGCAAAAAATGAACATTGCCATTATGAACACAACTGAAAATCCCTTATAACAATGACCCCCCCAATAGCATTGAGTATCTACCTGGAGCAAATGGACTGCAGCTTACCACCTCCTTTGCAAGGGCAGCTAGGGATGGGCAAAAAATGTTGGTCCAGCCATGAATGATTGTTAACTTCTTAAATTCAGAGTTGATTCATTGAGATGAATTCACCCTGGTAGTTTGACTACAGAAAAACACTGCCTACCAGATCGTTACACTCTTTCTGAACTTACCTTTTATTGTATAAACAACCTGAAAGAATAAACTTTATCTTTGATGCCTTATGTAAAGTATTCACAGAGATCTCTGCCCTTCCGCCTATGTGTAGAGCATTCAAATGTACAGATGAAGTGGTGATATCAAGTTGTGTAGTAAATGGCTGCTATGTTTGGTTACAATAGGATGACTGCACTCAGAAACAAGTTCACTGGGGCATGAAGCATTTTGTGGAGCACAGAGAACGCAAGGTGCTAATTAAATAAATGTTCCTCTTAATCCATATACATATTAATGAAAATACCAGTGTCTAACATGAAGTTAAATATATTTTCTATTGTCTGAAACTAAAGAACGTGTTGCAACTCTCAAAGTATAATTACACTGCCAAATGTGATAACAAAAAAAGTATTCATTTATATTACACTACAGTATTTACAGATACTCAAATAACCACCAAGGTCAGAGACCAATTGTATAGAATTATATACACTACAGCATACTGTATCAAATTTGACCAACTTCAGACGAAGAAGAGGAACAAAGTATCAGTAACAACTTTGGCAGGGTTAACATAAACAGGTACTTCTCTGAACAAAGTAATATTCATGTCACCCAGAGATCAATTTTCTAGTGCTTACACAGGAAACATAATCTTAGTGTGCAGTAATGGGTCTACAAATGTAACTGAAACATACAACAGAGCCACTTAATAATGGTCAGCCCAGCTCATATACATTGAAATAATGGATCAACCCATCCATAGGAGGGAAGCTGAAGTAGGGAAAAAAAATTATAATGTTCGCACTGCTACAGGGTAGAGCAGTGACAAGTGTTCTGCTCCTTTAATTGGTAGTCTCCTGGTAGAATAGTGGTGTATGATCTCAGGAACACTGTCAAATGGAAGGCTGTTTTCTCCCAAGATGTATTTATCTTTAGTTCTGGTCAGCTTCATATGCATAAAACCTTGGCTACTCCTACAAGCAAGCAGAATTACAAAGTATGATCAAACATGAAAATGCAAATTAATCCACAAAGGTCTGTCCTTCAGTGAACTGACTCCATTCCCTGTCATAGCAAAGTCACTAGAGTTAGAATATTTACAACAGTTTGATTTTTTTAAAGCAGGAATTAGTTTCTTAGGATAATTGCTTTCCTCAAGTTTCCTCACAAAGAATAAAGAACAATACAGCACAAGAACAGGCCCTTCGGCCCTGCAAGCATGCGCCGACAGATTTTGCCCTTCCACATTAAAACTGTCTTCACTTACAGGATTCGCATCCCTCTACTTGCTTCCTATTCAAGTATCCATCCAGGTGCTTCTTGATTGCTGCTATTGTGTCTGTGTCCACCATCTTCTCTGGCAGGGCATTCCAGGCACTCACCATCCTTTGTGTGAAAAACGTGCCTCACACATCTCTTTTAAACTTGCTCTCTTGCACGTTGAACCTGTGTCCCCAAGTAATTGACCCTTTCACACTTCCCGCTCTATCCAGGCCATTCACAATCTTATAAACTACCATCAGGTCGCCCCTCAACCTCCCGCGTTCCAGTGAAACAAACCCAGTCAATCCAATCCTTCTTCATAGCTAAAATCCTCCTTACTAGGCAACATCCTGGTACATCTTTTCTGCACTCACTCCAAAGCATCCACATTCTTCTGGCAGTGTGGTGACCAGAAATGTATGCAATATACCAAGTGTAGCCTAACATTTGTCTGGATTAAACGCGATCTGACTGTATCCTGCTGTATCCTCTGACAAGCCTCCTCACTATTTGCAACTCCACCAATATTTGTATTGTCGTTCCTGTTCAAGGAAAAATCTACATCTTATACATAAACAAACTTTGCTAGAAAAGCTCAGCAGGTCTGGCAGCATCTGTGGAGAGAAATCAGAGTTAACATTTCAGATCGAGTGACCCTTCCTCAGAACTGATGGTAGAGAGTAAAATGTCAGTTTATATGAAGAAGAGAGAGTGGCTGGAGGGGTTAAGGAGTAAACGATAGCTGGTGATAGAGCTCAAAGAGACAGAAGGACAGTTGGACAGATAGAAGTCAATAATGATCTGGTCAGGAGGGTGACTAGCTATTAATGGGGACTGTCAGTGGCTAACATAGGTTGTGTGTAATAGCAGACTATGTGATAACAAGGTCTGGTGTGTGGGGGTTGGGGTAAGTAATAGGAGAACTCAAATCCTAAAGTTGTTGAAAATGATATTGAGTCCATAAGGCTGTTGAGTTCCCAAGCGGAAAATGAGATGCTGTTCTTCCAGCTTGAGCTTCGCTTTGCTGGAGCACTGCAGCAAGCTTGAGGCAGAGATTTTGGCCAGGGAATAGGGTGGTGTGTTGACGTGGCAGGCAACTGGAAGCTCAGCGTCATTTTTGCGGACAGAATGTAGATGTTCTACGAAGCAGTCACCCAGTCTACGCTTCGCTTCCACAATATAAGGGAAACCACATTGTGAGCACTGAATGCAATAGACTAGATTGTATGAAGTGCAGGTAAAGTGCTGCTTCACCTGGAAGGTGTGTTTGGACCATTGAGTACTGTGCAGGGAGGAAGTAAACAGCAGGTGTTGGCACATATCCCTGCAACCAGGTGGTGTGTGGGGCTTTTAGGGGGTGGGGTTTGAGAGAGAAGGAAGAGTGGACCAGGGTGTGCTGGAGGGAACAGTCCCTACAGAAGGCTGACAAGGGAGGGAAGGGGAATATGTATTTGGCGGCAGAAATGGGGGATGATGATCCTCTGGTTGTGAATGCCGATAGAATAGTAGGTAAGGACAAAGTGGATCCTATCGTTGTTGCGGGAGGGAAGAGAGGAGCTGTGGAGCGCAGTGCAGGAGATGGGTTGCACCCAGCTGACGGCCTTGTCAACAAGGGTGCTGCGGAATCCTCAGTTGAGGAAAAAGGTGGATAATTTGGAGAATCCCTTATCAAAGTTGGCATCATTGGAATGGACACAAGATAGATGGAGGAACAGAGAGAATGGAATAGAATCTTCACAGAAAGCAGGGTGTGAGGATGCATAGTCAAGGTAACTGTATGAGTCAGTGGATTTATAGTGGATATTGGTGGCTAGCCTATTTCCAGAAATGGAAAGAGAAATGTTGAGGAAGGAGAGGGAGGAGTCAGAGATGGACCAGATGAAAGTGAGGGCAGGAAGCGAAACTGATAAATTTTTCAAATTCCCAGACGAGAGAGGGAACCAACACCAATGATGTCGTTGATATACTGGAGAAAGAGTTGTGAGTGGGGGCTAGAATAGGACTGGAACAAGCAATGTTCCACACACTCCACAAAGAGACAAGTATAACTGGGGCCTATGTGGGTACAAGTGGCCAGCCCTCTGAACTGAAGATAATGAGAGGAGTTAAAAGAGAAGTCGTTTAGGGTGAGGAGGAGCTCAGCCGGCAGAGGAGGGTGGTGGTGGATGGGGATGGGTCAGGCCTCTGTTCCAGGAAGCGGAGAGCCCCGAGACCATACTGGTGGGGGACAAATGTAAAAAGGGATTGCACGTCCATGGGAAAGAGAAGGCGGCTGGAGTTTTGAGGATGAGTCACTGGACCCAAAATGTTAACTCTGATTTCTAACCACAGATGCTGCCAGACCGACCAAACTTTTCCAGCAATTTCTGTTATTCAAACCTCAGTCCCATTATGAATTGAAATTTGCTGATTTGCATCACAAATATCCAATCAATAAATTTAATGTTCAGAATAAGCTGCTACTGTAATGTTCAAAAAAAAACACAGAGCTTTTCAACTCTGGATTGGGAATTTGTCCACTGGAACTATGCCAGATCCTGATTCCCCTTCTCTGTCTTACAATTTTCAAATACAGAGGAGCTGATTGGTTTGGGAGTGGTTTCAGTGCCAAATCGCTGGTGACAGGTACAACTTGCAATGCAGAGGCAACATCAAGACTTAAAAATGCCTCCTTTGAGGTGCTGTGGCTGAGCAGTGAGAGATTTTATGCACAGCCTTTGGTGAAAATCCTTCCCAGAGAACCGGGAGACTGGAAAGGTAGAGGTAGTCTGCAGTCGCATTGTGACCAGGAGGGTGTGAGTAAATTGCTTCACTGATCTCAAGTTGTTTGGGTAGGTGAGTGGCAAGTGGCACTGTGGGACAGGTCATCAACTCTGTACACAGAGCACGCTTACAGCCCTCAGTGTCTATTCCCATTTGTGAGATGTCAGCGACTCTCTCATGTGTGGGGATTTCTTAAAAATAATTTGATTCATCAAAGCAGACTGGACCATATAAATTCAGAATGGAACAGAACAACAGTGCTTCAACAGAGGCTAGACAGCACTGAAGATGTCACCTAGAAGGCGGATGAAAACCAGTCAGCTCGGTGAACCAACCAACAACTCCAGCCACAATCCAAGCTACAGATCTTCGCTAAAACATTAAACTGGCACCTGTGATGCTGTGAACCTCTGGAAAAGGCCAAGATGGATCATTCACATAGTATGTCAGGATCTAGACAGTTGAAAATGCTTCAGCCGTACCTTTTTCACTCAAATGAAGACAAAATACTGCACTTACTTGAAATCCAAAATAGAGACAGAAAATGCTGTGGAAACTCAGTGGCGAGGGAAACAGAGTTAATGTTTAAAGTCCAACATGACTCTTCAAAGAATGAATGAAGTAAATAACGTCTGAATGACTCTCTGAAGATTTATTTTGGACTCGAAACATTACTCTGTTTGTCTCCTCATCGATGCTGTCAGACCTGATTTAATTCAGAACTTTCTTATCCAGAACTTTCTTATTTTGTTGTCCTTTGCACTTACGTGTGGGCTCCCCCATTAATGAGAATTAGGATAATTGTGGAACTTCTTGTCCAGTTGTTTATCATTCATCACTGAATATGGGAGGATTGCAGAGCTTAGGTGTGATTGGTTATAGGATCACTCTGTCTATCACTTTCTGATTCTATTATTTGTCACACAAGTAGTCTTGTATTGTCATTTCATCAGGACGATATCTCACATATCTGATGCTGCTCCTGGCAGGCCCCTCCTGTACACTTCATTGAGCAAGGGTTGATCTCCTGGCTTTGATGGCAATAGTAGAGTGGGGAATCTGCTGGACCATGAGTTTGCAGATTGTGATATCCCACAGCAGCTTATGAATGGTCAATTTTGATTTGCCAGATCTGTTCAAATTCTATCTCATTCAGCTCAGAGCTGGTGCCACACAACACGATGCAGGGCATCCTCAAGGTGAAGATGGGATTACTTTCTATGTTGCTAAATACAGAAATACTGTCACTGAATGTGTGGCTGAAGAGATGGTGCCAGAGGCAGGGATTTCAATTCTTGGGTTCATTAGAACTAGTTCTAGTTGACGAGTACCTGAACAATATGGATAGGTTGCAGTTCAATAAAATGTGATGGGCTGAATGGCCTACATTTGCTCCTATGTCATATGATCTTATGACTGGCAGTGATATCGTCACAGAGAACTTTACTCATGTTGTTGAGGAATGTTTAAGCTCAGGTTAATAGAAACCTGACAATAGATTCACGAGAGAGAACCAAAGTTGCAAATGGCAGGCAGAAAATTAGTAATTGAGTATGTAGCGCAGAAGGAACACAATTAATCAAATTCAGGTCAGGGATACAAAGGTACATGTTCAGTGAGAGTAATTGTACTAATCAGACATTATACCTTGGCTCCTTAGATTATGAAACAATCATTGCAATCATTTGCATCCATTCTAACTTTATCTAAATTACAGTCAATTGTTTAAGAAGATTCCACTTACTTCAGTGAAAGTGAGTAATCGTTCTTTTTCCGCTGACTGTTTCGTATGAGATAACTGCATTCTTTACACAGCCGGAGAAGATTTTCTGCATCTGTTCTGCTAATGGCCCCATGATACCATCTATGAGAGAAAATATGCAAGGAAATCAAAATACTGAGGGACTGTATAGTGTTTCACAAAAAACACTATCAGGGGATGAGGGCCATTACATTCTTTAGGATCTGTGCTGCATCTCTTCACAAAGTATCCAAATCAGAGACCACTTTAGACAAAGGATTTTTTTTTCAAAAACACTTGGTACAGAACTCCCCACAGGCAGAATTGAAGTTATAGGTGAAGTATGGGAGGTGTGGAGACTTCATTCAAAATCCAGCAGATAGCTTTCCCACTACATACCAGCCACATGCCTTATCTGAAATTTTATAGGAGGTGGAGAAATATCAGACAACCATCTCATCCAAAGGTCTACTAAGGCCCTTCCATCACCAGTTAATGCCACATAAGGACCTCATACCACCTTCACCATCCTTGCCCACAACTGCTGGTAGGAGGTGTTCACTAGATGCAAGTCTAGGCTAGGCTGTGGGTCCCCTAGGCCCATCACAGGTGCCCTTCCTAAACCCCTCACCAAAGGTTACACCCTCCTTTATCCATTCTTTTACTTGCACCAAGATCTCCAACTCTGGACTTAGCCCAACTCCTTGGTTTAATGAAATTACCTGCAATCCCAACTTCAGTCAGTGCCCTGGCTGGCAGTACTGGAACTGTACAGCAGCAAAGCTCATAGAAAGGAGAGTCTATCATTTCTTGAGAAAGTGTCAGAAGTTTTACGCAAGTCTTACTTAACAGCAATGAACAAAGTTCTCACCCATTCATTTCCTGAAGGGTAGCCATTCGGATTTTGGCAGACCGACTGCCCTCTGCTTCCCATCCCAAAGTTTTAGCCAGAGAAGGGGTACTGCAGCATCTCATAAATAAAAGTCCTACTGAATGTGTGATTTTGATTTACATTGAGCAGGCTGCAGGATGGAAGACAGTCGTGCACCCAAAGATCTTCTGTATGGTGAAGTAGCTGTAGTCAGATGGCCTGGGGAGCACCCAAAGCTCTAGTTCTAGGATTCTTATAAGCATGACATGAATACCCTTGACAAAGATTCTCACACTTGGGAGGCACTGGCTGATGACAGTGGGCTGGTGTATATCACCACGAAGGCGAATGGCTTCCATGTCTTGGCAACAGGTGCCAACACTGAAAGCAATGATCCATTGCACCATTTGGTAGCTTCATGCATGGCACTTATGGTTGAATCTGCAAACACATGCCAGATGAGGTCTGCCCATCCAAATGAATTGTTCGCTGCGTGACCATAATCTTTCATGATGGAAAAATGCCGATGGCAATGATTAAACACAATTTTCCTGTTCAGTCATGCTTATAATAGGTTTTATTTGTAAAAATTATACAAAGGTGCAATCTTGCCAATTGGCTGTTCAATTAGGAATCAATCTCCGAAGCTCAACCTGGTGTAAAGGGAGAGGATTTGTGTTTCACTGCTCTGAAACATTTGGCAAATAATGTTGTGGAGGCAGTAGCAAAGTCATAGAAGAATCCATGAAGGAGGCTATCGTGTCTGTACCAGCTTTTGAAAGAGCTACTGAGCTAGCCCCATTCTCCAGCTCTATCTCTGTAGCTCCCTAAATTCATCACTTTCAAAAATCATAGTTTAAAATCAGGAGCTAAGATGATAGGGAACATTAGAATCTTGGCTTGTGATATGAAGTTTAATACAGGAAGGATGTTTCTGCTAATGCTCAAGTATAACTAGCCAGATGTCAATAAAAAAAACTGAGAAGACCAGACAAAACAAAGAGGATGAAATTTTAAAGAAGAACAAATTTGAACCCAAAACAGTATTAAGAATGTTTGAGTCAGAAAGAGAAATGAGGAAAAGTAGAAGGGGAGAAGGTGAAATGATTGGAAGGTGATAAAGACTGAGAATTGGAAAAAGAAAGCTTTGAAGCATGCAAACATGAATTGGAAGTGAAAGGTGAGGAATACTTGGAAAAAATTCCATTTTCAAACTGAAAAACATCTTCTGCCAGCTACATTTAGTGAAAAGGGAACAAAAATGTCATTCTGAAAACTGACAAATCTGAATCATCACAAATAATATGTTCCTACATAGTGTTTTCATTGGGAAAACCCTGCAGGTATGCAGAAAGGCACACAGTTGGCTTTGACCAGCATGATTTTGTTAAGGGGAGATCACGTCTTTACAATTTGATTGAATTCTTTGAAGAGATGAGCAGGTGCGTAAACGAGGGCAATACTTCTAATGCAGTCTACTTGGAAATCAGCAAGGCCCTTGATAACGACATGCAAGGGAAACTGGTAGCAAAGGTAAGAGCCAAGGAAATTTGACAAATTGGATCCACAATTGACTGAGTGGCAGTAAGCAGAGGGTGATAGTTTGAGGTGTGCTTTTCTGACGGGACATCTGAGTGCAGTAGGGTCCAACTGGGGACAGTGTTTGGGATCCTTGCTGTTTGTGGCATATATGAATAACTTAGACTTGAATGCAGGAGGATTGATCAGTGGCTGATAGAAAAATCGGTGGAGTGGAAAATAGTGAGGAGGTTAGCCCTAGAGGATACAGATGGCAATGGAATTCAATCCAGTCAAATGTGAGGTTGTGGGCAGGACAAACAAGGTGAGAGAATACATGATGAACAGTAGGACCCGAGCAAGCACCAAGAATCAGTGTCAACTTAGTGTACACTGGTACCTAAAGGTATCAGGTCAGGTGGATACAGTGGTTAAGAAGGCATAGAGTTTAAGTGCAGGTAGGTTGTGCTGGAACTGTATAAAATGTTGGTTAGGCCCAGCTAGACTACTGTGTGCTGTTCTGAAATCCGCATTATACAAGGGATGTGATAGCACTGGAGAGGTGTAGAGGAGATTTACCAGGACGTTGCCTGGGCTGGAACGTTTCAGTTATGAAGAGAGATTTTACAGACTATGATTGATTTCCTCAGAGCAGAGAAGATTGGGGGGCACATGTATAAAATTATATGGGGCATAGATAGGGTAGACAGAAAATAAACTTATTCACTTGATGGAAGCATCAATGACTGTGGGCATAGAATTAAAGTAAACGGCAAGAAAGTTTAGATGAGACGTGATGAGAAACATTTTCACCCAGAGGGTGGTGGGAATCTAGAACTGCTTATAAGGGTGGTAGATGCAGAAAATTTCATATCATTTAAGAAGTATTTGGATGTGCACTTGTGATTCCAAGGCATAGAAGGATATGGGGCCAGTGCTGGAAAACGGGATTAGAATAGGCAAGTGGTTGTTTTTGACCGACAAGGATATGATGGACCCAAATTTTTTCTAAGCTGCAGATCTCTCTAACTATAACTGAATAAAGACTTGTTCTCAATGCCAAAGAGAGGTGACAAACAGAAATTCATAAAGGAAGGGATTTGGGAAATTTCTGGAATGAAGAGAATGGTGTTTGATAGCTGGTAAAGGTTGAAGTAGTTTGGGAAAGACTTGAGAGCTTCATGGTAATGAATGATTGATTGATTGATTGATTGATTGATTGATTGTTATGTGTACCAGAGTACAGTGAAAATCTTTGTTTATGAGCAGTACAGGCAGATCATAGTAAACAAGGATGTAGAGATCAAAGGTTGTTAAAAAAAATTTGAACAGAGGCATACAGATTACATTGCACAGGGCGACCGCTCGGCGAGATCAATGGTCTGCATTATTTGAGGCTAGAGAGTCTATTAATCAGTCTAAAAATGGCCGGGAAGAAGCTGTTCCTGAACCTGCTGGTACATGTTTTCAAGCTTCTGTATCTTCTGCCTGATGGAAGAGGTTGTGGGAGATTCTAACTGGGGTTTGATGGGTCTTTCATGATGTTGGCAGCCTTTCTTTGGCAGCGAGCTATGTAAATGGAGCCCATGGATGGAAGGTTAGCTTTTATGATGGTCTGGGCTGTGCACACAACCTTCTGCAGTTTTGTATGATCCTGGGCAGAGCAGTTTCCATACCAAGCCATTAAGCACCTGGACAGTATGCTTTCAATGGTGCATATGTAGAAATTGGTAAGGATCCCTATGGACATGCCAAGTTTCCTGAGCCATGTAAGGAAGAAAAGGCGTTGTTGTGCTTTTTTGACCATCACATCTATAGTGGAAGTCCAAGACAGTTTGTCAGTTATCGTCGCTCCAAGGAATTTGACGCTCTCTACTTTCTCAATTTCAATTCTGTTGATGTTGTTGGCGGCATGCTTTCCTCCTTTCTTTCTGAAGTCAATGATCACTTCTTTAGTTTTGTCGATGTAGAGAGAGAGAGAGAGAGAGAGAGGTTGTTCTCATTGCACCACATCACCAAGCCCTCCATCTCCCTTCTGTATTTTGACTTGTTGTTAGTTATCCATCCTACTACGGTGGCATGGTCAGCAAACTTGTAGATGCGGTTTGTTCGAAATTTGGCAGCACAGTTGTGGATGTACAGGGTGTACAGTAGGGGGCTGAGGACGCATCCTTGGTGGGCTCCAGTGCTGTGTGCTAATGTGGAGGAGGTGTAGTTACCTATCTTCACTGATTGCGGTCTGTCGGTCAGAAAACTGAGGCTCTAGTTGCAGAAGGCAGAACCAAGACCAAGGTCCTGGTGTTTTGAGATCAGTTTGTAGGAAATAATGGTGTTGAAGGAGGAGCTGTAGTCAATGAGCAGGAGTCTGATGTAGGTATCCTTGTTGTCCAGATGTTCCAGGGATGAGTGGAGGGCTAGGCATATGGCATCCACTGTGAATCTGTTATGTCAGTAAGCAAATTGTATGGGATCGAGGCAGGCTGGGAGACAGGAGTTGGTGTGGGCTATGACCAGCCTCTCAAAGCACTTCATGATTATTGAGGTCAGAGTCACTGGGTGGTAGTCATTAAGGAACATTGCATGTGCTTTCTTAGGTACCAGGATGATAGTGGTCTCCTTGAAGCAGGTGGGGCCTTCGGATTGTTGTCAGGAGAGGTTGAATTTGTCAGTGAACACCACCTCCAGATGGACCATAAAGGATCTGAGTGCTTGACAGGGACACCATCCGGACCAG